TTCTCCTGGTGTCCCCCCCAAAAAAATTAAAATAAAATAATTCGGACTTGAGATTCGCGGAGTTTCCTATTACTAATACTATTATATATTTGTGGGGGGGGCGGCGCAAAAAAGGAATGCGACTTGGCCTCATCTGCCCTCCCCCTTGAAGGATTCCGATTGAACGCCCCCACAAGGAGGATTCATAGTGAAATCCTCGACAGAAGGATTCCTATCGAAACCCTCCGCTGAATGAGTCCTACTGAAATCCTCCACATGTGAATTCCTATTGAAATCACCCGCAGAAAGATTTATATTATTCATATTGACACCCTCCGCAGAAGGACTCCATGCGAAACCCTCCACATAAGGATTCCTGTTGAAATCTACCACAAAGGATTTCCCCCATTGGCGGTGCATGGGCATTGGATTGGGATCGCTTTGGCGTTGGTGTGGCACTGCGTTGGCACTGCGTTGGCATTGCGCTGGCATTGCGCTGGCGAGTTCCAGCACCGCCCTTCGCATAATGATTCTTGTTGAACCCCCCACAAGAAGGAGTCCAGTTGAAGCATTCCACAAGAAAGGTTCGCATTAAACTCCCTCACGGAAGGATGCCATTCGAAGCCCTCCATAGAAGGAATCTTCTTGAAACCGACCACAAACGATTTCCCCCACTGGCATTGCATTGGCATTGAATTGGGATCGCTTTGGCATTGGTTTGGCATTGCGTTGGTGTTGCGTTGGCAATGCGCTGGCGAGTTCTAATGGCTCCCCCCACAGAAGGATTCCTATGAAAACCTTGCACAAGAAGGGATCCTATGAAATCCCCCATATGAAGGATTCAAAGTGAAACCCCCAACAGAAAGATTCCAATCGAAACCCTCCACGGGAGGAGTCCTATCGAAACTCTCCGAAGAAGGATTCGTAACCAAATCATCCACATAAGGATTCCTAGTAAAATCGGTTGGAAGACAGGAATCCCGCCATCGACAAAGAAAGAACACCCCGTTGGCATTGCATTGGCATTGGTTTGGCAATGGTTTGGCATCGCATTGGCATTGCGTTGGCAGTGCGCTTGGCAGTGCGTTGCTAGTGCGCTTACGTTTCGCAAGCATTACGCTGGCGAGTCCTAATGGAACCCTCGACAGAAGGACTCCGATCGAAACATTCTACAAGAAGGACTCCTATTGAAACCCTTCACAAAAACGGTTCATACTGACACCCTCCGCAGACGGACTCCATGCGACACCCTCCACAGAAGGATCCCTGTTGCAATCTACCACAAAGGATTTCCCCCATTGGCAGTGCATTGGCATTGGGTTGGGATCGCGTTGGCATTGGTGTGGCATTGCGTTGGCACTGCGTTGGAATTGCGCTGGCATTGCGCTGGCGAGTTCCAGCACCGCCCTTCGCATAGTGATTCTTGTTGAGCCCCCCACAAGAAGGATTCCATTTGAAGCATTTCACAAGAAGGGTTCGCATGAAAACTCCCTCACGGAAGGATTCCATTCGAAGCCCTCCATAAACACCAATGGCAATGGCAATACCAATGGTAATGGCCATGGCAATGGTAATGGTAATGGCAATGGTAATGGTAATGGTAAAGGTAATGGTAATGGTAATGGTAGTGGTAATGGTTGACCATGGTTATGGGAATGGGAATGGGAATGGGAACGGGAACAGGAATGGAAATGGTAGTGGTAGTGGTAATGGTAATGGCAATGGTAATGGTCATGGTAATGGTACTGGTAACGGTAATGGTAATGGCGATGGTGTTGTAAATGGGAATGGGAATGGTAAGGGCAGCGGTAATGGTAGTGGTAATGGTAATGAGAATGGTAATGGTAATGGTAATGACAATGGTAAGGGTAATGGCAATGGTGATGGTAATGGTAATGGCAATGGTAAGGGCAGTGGCTAATGGCAATGGCAATGGTAATGGTAATGACAGTGAAAATGGTAATGGTACTGGTAATGGTAATGGTAAAGGTAACGGTAATGGTAATGGTAACGGGGCAGCGGCTGGCAATGGAGATGACAATGGCAATGGCAACGGTAATGGTAATGGCAATGGCAATGGCAATGGCAATGGCAATGGCAGCGGTAATGGTAATGGCCATGGCAATGTCAATGGCAATGGTACTGGTAATGGGAATGGGAATGGGAATGGGAATGGGAATGGAAATGGGAATGGGAATGGGACCGGAAACGGGAATGGTAGTGGTAGTGGTAACGAAAAAGGGAATGGTAATGGTAATGGTAATGGTAAAGGTAATGGTAATGGTAATGGTAACGATAATGGCAATGGCAATGGTAATGGCAATTGGAATGGGAATGGGAATGGGAATGGGAATGGTAATGGCATTGGGAATGGGAATGGGAATGTGAATGGTGATGGTAGTGGCTAATGGCAATGGCAATGGCAATGGTAATGGTAATGGTAATGACAGTGGTAATGGTAATGGTACTGGTAATGGTAATGGTTTCGGTAATGGTAATGGTAATAGTAATGGTAACGGGGTAGCGACTGGCAATGGCAATGGCAATGGCAATGGCAACGGTAATGGTAATGGCAATGGCAATGACAATGGCAATGGCAATGGCAATGGCAATGGCAATGGCAATGGCAATGGCCATGGCCATGGCCATGGCCATGGCCATGGCCATGGCCATGGCCATGGCAATGGTAATGGTAATGGTAATGGTAATGGTAATGGTAATGGTAATGGTAATGGTAATGGTAATGGTATTGGTAATGGTAATGGTAATGGTAATGGTAATGGTAATGGTAATGGTGATGGTAATGGTAATGGTAATGGTAATGGTAATGGTAATGGTAATGGTAATGGTAATGGTAATGGTAATGGTAAAGGTAATGGTAGCGGTAATGGTACTGGTAATGGTAATGGGAATTGGAATGGGAATGGGAATGGGAATGGTAAGGGGAACGGGAGCGGGAATGGAAATGGTAGTGGTAGTGGTAGTGGTAATGGTAATGGCAATGGTAATGGTAATGGTAATGGTAATGGTAATGGTAATGGTAATGGTAATGGTAATGGTAATGGTAATGTAATGGTAATGGTAATGGTAATGGTAATGGTAATGGTAATGGTAATGGTAATGGTAATGGTAATGGTAATGGTAATGGTAATGGTAATGGTACTGGTAACGGTAACGGTAATGGCAATGGTGATGAGAATATGAATGGGAATGGGAATTGTAATGGCAATGGCATCGGTAATGGTAATGTGCTGGCCACGCTGCGACGCACCGTCGCCACCACTCCTCTCGAACCGCCTCAGTAGTGGCTCTGCCGAGGCTTCTCGGGAGGACCGTCTGGCATGCACCTCGATGCTGCGCTGGAACGGTGGCGTGCTTTGCCGTAGGCAACTCGAACTATGGTGGCCTGGTCGCGCCCGAGGACCGCTGCATGTGTTTGCGGCATTGGGATTTCGCTCTGGCGTCTGGCGCCGTCACCACATGCCCCGGAATCCGAACGATGGGCCAGAGGGACATATTGTTTCGCACCAGGGAGAGGAGGGAAGGAGGCGAGAGGACCGGAAAGCAACGAGGTGGATCAAATCAAGCGAGCCTGTCCACGGGATCCACCTCACCTCTACACGCACCTGAACCACATACACCCGCCGAATCGGGATGGGGGGACGAGCGGCGAACCTGGACACTGCTGGGGATCAGGAGTCTGCAAGAGGGTGCTGGAGGGAACGCAACACGGCTGGGGGTCGCGAAAGCAAGGGATTGTATACAAGAGAGTAGCGACTCGGAGAAAAGGGAAAAGATGTTCCGTTGGACAGGTACTGCTGGTGCTGATACTGCAAGTTGTGTCGCAGATGCCTTGCGAAGGCGCGGTCTACATGGCAAGACGCGCCAACTGGGATGGAGGTGGGGAAGAGTGGAGAAAGAACAATGAGGCCACTGAGACCACACATGAAAATAAGTCTGAGGAACAGGTCTGCATACACATGACGAGCCCGAACCATTCCAATTACGATAAGCTTGGCCCACGAGCTGACTGCTAAGTACCTGAATGCCACAACGAACATGTACCACGAGGACTTGCCGCCTGGACCAGGGAGCTCACCATGCTAGACAGCCTCAAGGAAGCCTCGACCTCCCGAACTGTGTCCATGTATGGCGAACTGTACCATTCCGGGGCAGTGCTGCTGCCCCCCCCGAGCAGCAATCTTGGGGCAGGCACTCCTCAGCACCGAGGCTTCCATCTCGGGACAAGGCCAAGCTGGCCACGCACGAGGTCACTGGCCGAAGGACCAACCCTACACCGACGCCACTGCTAAGGAGCACGGAACTACCCCACGGAACGCCTCTGACTCAGAGAACCTGGGGCAGCTCGACCCCAATACTAAACGCACGCTGGCAGAGCCTGGCGCAGAGAACACGCAGAAAGCTGCAAATGGGCCCTGTCTACTGTTCAGGCCCACGGGAATCGAAACTGCAAACACGCTTGGAAAAGCCGTTCCCCCGATGCTTCAGACATGCTGAGTTTGTCCGTCCAGATGGCCGCTTTGTCTCAACATGTGTGCACTGGCGTAGTTAGAAAGAGATGTCGCCATAGATCATCCCATCCTGAATTCTGGCGGCCGTGCAAACTCTCCGACAACGGTCAGGAGCTCCAAGAGATGGCTGCTGCGGGACTCCTGGTGCCGACCGACCGAGTTTGGCCCTCCTCCACCCTCCTCCCTACTTCATGTGAGCGTGCTGGCGTCTTTCCCTCGACGAGCTTGTTGTGCTCTGCAGCAGACCCTCCGACTACACGTTGTTCATCTCGTGCCAGCCGCCTAGCGGTACCAACTGCGCACGGCAGTATGACGAGGCTTCGCAGAAGAGGTGGAGGGGCGAGTGGCAGAGGGGGAGCAAGAGCTGTTTGTCCATGATCGTCGCCATGTGCTGGAAAACAGCACGTGGCCGCCGTAGTGCCCTATGCAATCGCTATGCTGGAAGATTGCCGCCGCACCTGCAGAGGGCGGAGGGGCAGCGCAGGTGAGGCTACTGGCTGTTCCACTCGTCGAGATTGCAGAGCTCTGCAAATAACCATCCGACTACAATTTGCGGCGGCCTCTTGCCTGACCGCTTGTACACGGCAATGCGAAGAGGCCGCTCAAAAAAGACGGTGAAAGGGTGGGGGATCGAGGAGCAAGAACACGGTATCCACCACCACCACGCATCCGCAAGATTTGTTTTGCGACTCTCCGTCCAGATGATGTTTGCACTCCGTTGGGAAACGCGGAGTGCCCGGTATCGGGCGGAGTCCCAGAGTCAACCCCACTCTGGCTCGAGCGTGGCAGCCACGCCCCCGCAAGTCTCACCTCGGGACCAGATCCGACTGGGGCCGCCACTGTGCCTCGGGCAGGCAGTGGAGAGCCCTCGGGCCTTTGACGGTCCGTCGCACCGGGTCGTCCAAAATCTCCCGAGGGCTGCGGACCGGTCCGTCGTGGGGCACTCTTCGGGCGCTCTGGGGCCGCCCTGGAGGCCCTGGGGAGCGCCAGCTCAAGAGGCCAAAAGCCTTCCAATATCAGGTCGAAAAATGAAAAAGAGTCACAAAATGCTAGAGAAATGCTCAAAAATACTCAAAACATGGTCCCCAGACTATTTTGTAAACTATTTTTGAATATTCTTCCTGCAGAGGGACAGGCCTGACTTAATTCTAACATGTTTTTACTGATTTGGGCATGTTCCGCCTGTTCGGCGTCAAGAGCGCCCAAGCTGGCCCAAGAGGCCCCCAGAGAGCGCCTAAAGATTGCCTCCGAGGCCCCGAGTAGGGGCCCAAGAGGCCTTCAAGACGGCCTTCAGAAGGAGCCCAAAAGGAGTCTGCGAAAGGAACCCCGAGCATGGCCTGGAATGCTCTTTGTAGATAACCCCAAGCACCCCAAAAGACCCCCCCCCAGAACCTCCCACCAGCGTCTCAAAGAAGCGGTGTAGGAACAGAGGTGGATGAGGAGGAGGAGGAGGAGGAGGAGGAGGAGGAGGAGATGGAGAGGTTGGAGGGATTCGTCGTTGGCCCGCCGCAGCATAGGCTTGTCTTGAACACGCCAGCCACGAGTATGGTGTGAGGAACGTCGGGCACGAAGATTGAGACAGAAGTCAAACACGAAGGTTGAGGCAGAAGTAAAAAATAGGCCAAGGCAGGACGCCTAGCGAGAAAACTTTACGTTGCATTCAAAAATCACACGCGCCACCTGCTAGGGCGACGGGCATGGCGTGGCGTGGCGTGCACGAGCGCCATCAGGTTTGCAACCACTCGACGCATGGCCGCTGCCGTGGCCTGACCCATCCGCGATCGAAAAACTAGTAGTACACACGGGAATTCCGGTTGGTTACGTTCCCGCTTCTGTAGACGACCCATGGCTGAGGCGTTGGCAGCTGGTGCCGAACATCGAGCGGCACGCCCAGTGGGAGGTCATCCCGCCCTTCCCCCACCCCCTCCCCCGCCCCTCCTGGGGAAACTGTGTGTACAGATACCGCTACTCCCCGGACCTCTCCCGGGGTGCGTTCTGACCAGGATCTCGAGGCGAACCCAGCGGTGGCGACGAGGGCCTCCGAGGAGGCCCAAAAAGGGGAGAACGATGACAGGGTAGAGGTATGGGCACCTTTTCCTCCCCCGCCCCTCCCTCGCGGCCGACGACCGGCAGCCGCGCGAGAGCAGCTGCAGACAGGAGTGGGGGGGGCGAACGAGCATGAGAATGGCTGGGGGCGCAGCGCCCCCCTCGGACTGCGCCTTCGGCCGTGCCCCCCCGCCCCCCACCCGGCAGTGCCAGACTGCAACGCCCTCGCCTCCGGCGAGGCCGCCATCCAGGGGCCCCCGCGCGGCGGGGCAGAGGCCACCCTGCAGCTCCGAGGAGATCCCCGTGGCCGCGGCAAGCTATGGCCGACCATCTCCGCGGCCAGCTATAGCCGAGCACGCTGCAGACCCACAACAAAAAGAGCTATGGCGACTCGTGGGAGACCCCCAGGTCATGTTGCTGGCGCTTGTGGATCGACGCCAACAGACGCTGATCGAAGCTAAATCGACGCTGAGCTGGCGCGCTAAGCCAACGCTGAACCGACGCTGAAGCGGCGCTGAGTCTGCGCTTCCTCGTCGATCACCAGACGCTGACGCACGCTTTACGCACTCGAAGGACGGACCTTCGAGGACACACACGGCTCCCATGAGCTGCCATCCAGCAAACGGCATGCGGAAGCAGTCGGAGGCGGCCGGAAGCGGCGAGAAGCAGCGAGACGCGGTGGAAATCCGCTGCGCTCCCGTGCGCGGACATCCAGCTCGCTCGCCGCCACGCGGCAGCCCCGGGCCCCATGCCCGCGAGCAGGCGGGCAGGCCCGGGCTGCAGAAAGCTCGGGTGACCCAAAAAGGGGGTCCAGCTGAAAGGGGGTGGTGCAATAGATACTGGGCAATTGCGTTGCGAATGCACTGCGCCGGAGAATTAGATTGCGTTGTATTGCAACTAATGCCTTGCACGCGAAAGTCCAGCAATACATCTGCGCCCCAGAATGTACTGCACGCCCCAAATGCGTTGCAACCCCACAAATCTATGGCACCAGACCTATTGCACCACCCCCTTGTCGCTGGGCCCCGTTTTGGGCCAACCCGAGAAAGGCACCAGGGGGCACAAAGAAAAGAGACGGCCCTGCCGCTGCTCCACGGAGCCCTCCAGGCGCACGCGCTCTGGCCAGGGTGGCGAGGGGAGGGTAGCGGCGCACGGATCTCTCTGGGCATAACGTGCCATGCGAAAAATGCACAAAAGAACGAGGGAGAAATCTAGCAGCGTGCAAAAAAGCAGCGGCCCCTGTAGAGGCCGAAACCGAGGAAAACGGGACTCTTGGACCGGCGCTGGACCCCCCCCCTCGCTGGCGCGCGGAGCGCGCCGGGAGCGGCGCCGCAGGCGCCGCCACGGGGCCCTGGCGCCGATCCAAGAAGTCCACGCGGAGCGTCGAAAGTGTGTACACTCGACCAGGATAGTAAGGATGCGCGGTAAGGATTCAAGGGCCTCGGAACGCCATGTTGACGTTTTCCGTGCGGAGCGCAGCAGAATACCGAAGGATGCCGAATACCGAAGGGGCAAGGATGCAAGGGCAGCCTTGGAAAACTGCCCCATCCTTACTGTCCTGGTTGACTGTGTGTGTCTTCATGCCGCCCTCTTTTTGCTCTCCGAGAGCGGCGAATGAGTCGCCCGCGCGGCCGCCCCGGCGCCTGCCCCTCCGTCAGGGCGCGGACGCTCTGCGCCACTCGGCGCGGGGCCCGCGGCTGCCCGGCGCCGGCGCCGCGCTGGCCACGACGAGGTGCTGCTGCCGCGGCGGCAGCCGCTCGTCGTCCACCTCGTGCTGCCCCCGGCGCCGCGCCTCCTCTCGGGCAGCGAAATGCGGACCCCCGCACCGATCCTGGCGCCAGGGCCAGCTCCTGAGCCCCTCCAGCGCATGGAAAGAGGCCTTCGCCGAGGAGGGTGTATTTCGCCGGTCTCGTCCTCCAGGGGGCCTCGCCCAGGCCCCCAAGACCGTCCAGAAAACACTCGGGATGAAGAACCGGTCCGGGGGGGGAAAGAATCGGGACTTCCGGAGACCGCGTACGGGGAACGAATCAAGACATCGAACATCTCGGCCTGGGCCCAAGATCGGTGCACAGGCCCTCTTGGCCTGGCCAGGGCGGCGCATGAGCATCGCTTCACCGATCCCCATCCCCACTGGCGTGGCCTCGGCCCCACTGGCCGATGCACCACCCTAGATGGGGATACAGGGTGCTCCCTTCGGGTCTCGACGGGCCCATCCCGAACTGGCGCGGTGGGATGGCGGGGCCGAGACACAGTGGCGCGGTGGGGGTGGGGGCATGGCAAACGATGCTGCCAATCCTGGGCCCGGGATCGGCCCCGCCAAGATGGGTGCGCTGGCCAGTTGACGTCCTCGGGTCCTTGCCCGCCTGCAGGAGCTCCTCCGAGAAGAGGAGGGGGGTGGGCAGAAGGAGACTTGCGCCTGAGGGTGAAATAGATCTACGCAGAACATTTGCGTACATCGTGAATTTGCACGGTATGTTTACAGAGTGCATGTTTCACCCCTAAAACTTCTGCTTCACCGTTTGCACAGCAAGCTCGCCATTGAGCAGAACCGTCGGGCAGAAGTGGCAAGGCAACTCCTGGAAGGTCTTCGTCAGAACGAATGAGGGCCATCAAACTCGATAAAGGGGCCAACGAGCTGGATTCAGCACCAAATTCAGCCGGCCTGAGCAGGAGTGAGCCGAATCAAGCGGGATCAATCTGGACTAAGCAGGAGAAGCCGAAGTGGGCCCGTTTTCGACCAGGGATATGCCAGCGTCGATTCGGAACGAAACCCCCCAGGAAACCCACCAGCCCTCTGGGCGACAGGTGGTCTGACGAGGGTCTCTTTCCTCCTCCACAACCCCTTTTCCCTTCGGGGAAGGGCACCCTCCCCCTCCCCGGGACCTCCCTGGGTTTTTTTGGGAGGTTCCGCGATGTGTCGGAGGTTCCTTCTTCGGCCACTGGGAGGACCGACCGCCTCCAGGATGGCCCCAAGAGGCCCTCCAGGGCTCCCAAGAGGCCCCCAATAGGGCCCAAAGAACGCCCCAATAAGCCCCAAAGAGGCCTCCAAGAAGCACCCGAGGGGCCCCAGAGAGCCCAAGATGACCTCCAAGATGGCTCAAGACAGCCCCAGCTAGCTCAAGAGGGCTCCCAAGATATTCCAAGAGGCCCCAAGACCGCTCCAAGACGGCTCAAGATGGCCACGGAATCTCCCCAATAGGCCGCGAAACAAGCCAAAACCCTTTGACGATGCATGTTTCTTTCCCTCTCCCCCCGTCAGCTGTCATGGGCATCGTTTCTGGATGGGCTGGTGGGGATATTTTTGGTCAACAGGCTCGGGAGGCGGGTCGAAAGCCGTCCGAACACCAGTCGGGCCGCGACGAGGCAGCAGGAAAAGAAAGGCAAGCGAAGCGAGCGCGCGGGCAGCCACTCAGAAGGAGAGCCGGCTGGTGGGGACACTTCTTTGGTCGCGGCCACGAGACGAATGTCAGGCGGCAAGAGCAAAGTCCAGGACGCGAACTAAGCGAATTAGCACCAACAGGCGCTAGCCGGCCGGCTCACTCCTACAGCAGCCGCGAAGCTGAAGACGAGGAGCTGACGGTGGATGGCGCCCTGAGAACTCGAGCACGCGCACTGGACAAAGTGTCTCGTAATCCTGTGTTTGCCATGGCACAACCCACACGGTATAGACGTGGACCACGATGGTCAAATCCTTCATGATGGGTAATGGCGAGTAGGAGGCCATTGGAGTGAGTCGCCAGTGGGGCGCCAGGCTCCAAACTCTGGTGGGGATACGTTTTTGGGTTCGCGGCTCCAAGGCGAGGGACATGGAGCGGGCACAGCGTCCGGGGCGCGGTGCGAAGATATCTGGTGGGGATACGTTTTTTTGATTGGCGGCTCCAAGGACAGCTCCAAGGAGCGGGACGGACTCGGCTGGGGCACAGGGCGAGATAATTAGCTGCAGAGGCGCATAGGCCACGGCAGCAGGTGCACGTGCCAGGGACAAAATGACCCTCATTAGGACGCTGGCGGCCCGAAATCGGAACGCGGGCCCGAACTGGGGACGGAAGGAACTGTCGCACAAGTGGCGCCAGGCTCTGACCGTACCGAACAGCGCGTATGGCCGGGGCAGGCTGCGCTGAAGCGGCACGGAGTGGCTGGGGTGGCCGCACCGTCCATGAAACGAAGAGGAGGCCAAGGAAGGAACAGGAGAGACACAGCGGGCACAAGGGCACGCGGTAGCAGGAAAATGGGAGGGCACAGATGGAAGCCTCACTCACTGTGACTCATAGGACGCTCTTGGGCAAGAGAGCGACCAGCACACAGTCAAGGAACAGTCGAACGTGTCGTCTGAGTCCACAGCCTGCAACTTGTCCGACACTGAGGATCGGGGGCGTAAAGCTGCAAGCACTGGTCGAGTCACCTGGTCCAGCCTGCAGGGAGGACCGTGATGATCTGCCAAAGGATGAACCACTTGTGCAGGAGCTTGAACGCGAAAGCGTCGACCACAGTCAGGGACCCTGTCGTCGACGTCTCCGGCGTTCACCGCGAGCAACTTATCCGACACAGAGGGTCGGGGGCACAAAGTCGCAAGCGTATCTGGTGGCGTCAAGAATTGCACCCTAGCAGAAAGACAAGGCAAGGACCGGGTGTCTCTGAGGAGAGCTCCATGCCGCGGGATGCGTGGGAAGTGGCTGACATCAGAACACGAATCGTGGCGGCGCATAGCCTGAGCTCTCAATGATGAAGCGCGTCCCTGGCGGGTAAGGCGCTCGAGTTGAGGGGCCCTCCGGCACCTCGAGCGCTCTGCCTGCGGCGCCCACGCAGGGCGCAGGATTCGGATTTGGATTCGGAAAGGCTGCGAAGCGACATCTAGAATCCAGCACTCGAGGAACAGACCACGCTCAATCCTGGCGAAGTACCCTCGCCGTGCCTTCGAACTTGAAGTTCTACCGGGCTCACACAGTTGACCGTGAGAGGACCCGTAGAAGCCGCAAGCCAGATAGATCCCCCAGAGCCCCGCTCCACCACCAAGGGCCAGTGGAAGTAGAGAGAGCGAGAGAGGGAGAGAGAAAGAGAGAGAGAGGGAGAGAAAGTGAATGAAAGAATGAGAGAATGAGAGAGAAAGAGGGAAAAAGAGAGAGAGAGAGAGACGGACTGGGAGAGAATTAGAGACAGACAGACAGACAGACAGACAGACAGACAGACCGACAGACAGACAGACAGACAGACAGACAGACAGACAGACAGACAGACAGGCAGACAGAGAAAGAGAGAGAGAGAGAGAGAGAAAAAGAGACAAAGAGAGAGAGAGAGAGAGAGGTTCGACGAGTCCAAAGCACCCAGGGGGGGGCCGTCGGAAGGGACCCTTGATTCACCCTCGAAGGGGTGGCGACCTGCCAGGAGCCAGTCAGCGACAGGGCACCCCCGAAGGAAAAGCACTCGGCTTCGCCTTCTTCTGGCTAGGCACCTTCCCGCTCGCGGGGGTCGGGCCAGGAGGGGGGGAAGTGAGGCAGAAGGGGAAGAAGGGGGAGGACGAGGGGCTGGAGGTCCTTGAACAGCTCCTCGGGGATGTGCGTGTCTCCGTCGATCGGCACTGATCTGTACGGCGTCCTTGCGAGGACAGCTCATTCACATTCTGAAGATATGGGGAGGAAAAGCAGCAGCAGGAGGAATGAGGGCTAAATCACTACAAATAAAATGTACACACAAGTTGCAAATCTCCCTCGGGCTCCCGAACTCTCCGTCCACGAGATCCGCGAAAGAGCTCGAACGTATGCGCCTGGATCCAGTGCCCCTAGGCCTGTCCACCGGCATTGGAAAGCCACCAGGTGCGATCTCTGGTCCAGCCCCGGCGTCCACGACCTTTGCGGCGTCCACGATATGTGCCCCGCACTTGGACATGATCCTCGTGAAAAGCGGCATGGCGCAGCAGCTCCAGGGCACTGCTTCACCCGTTTGCTCCTCGCCTGGGGTGCCCGCAGGCAAGGCTGAGACTTCACGACTTGAGCCACACACACGACTGCAGCGCCACCAACCTCCGATGTGTGTGTGTGGTGTGTGCGCGTTCGTGTGTGCATGAGTGTGTTGTGTGGTCTGTGTGAGTGTGTGTGTGTGAGTGTGTGTGTGTGTGAGTATGAGTGTGTGCGTGCGTGTGTGCGTGTGTGCGTGTATGCGTGTGTGCGTGTGTGCGTGTGTGCGTGTGTGCGTGTGTGAGTGTGTTGTTTGTTGTGTGTTGTGTGTTGTGTGTTCTGTGTTGTGTGTTGCGTGTTGTGTGTTGTGTGTGTTGTGTGTTGTGTGTGCTGTGTGCTGTGTGTGTTGTGTGTCGTGTGTGTTGTGTGTTGTGTGTTGTGTGTGTTGTGTGTTGTGTGTTGTGTGTTGTGTGTTGTGTGTTGTGTGTTGTGTGTTCAGTGTGTGGTGTGTATGTTGTGTGTGGTGTGTGTGGCGTGTGTTTGGTGTGTGGTGTGTGTGGTGTGTGTGTGTGGTGTGTGTGCCGTGTGTGTGGTGTGTGTGGTGTGTGTGTGGTGTGTATGTGGTGTGTATGTGGTATGTGTGGCGTGTGTGTGTGTGGTGTGTGGTGTGTGTGGTGTGTGGTGGGTGTGTGGTGTGTGGTGTGTATGGTGTGTGTGGTGTGTGGTGTGCGTTGTGCGTGTTGTCTATGTTGTGTGTTGTGCGTGTTGTGTGTGGCTTGTGTGCGTTGTGTGTGCTGTGTGTTGTGTGTTGTGTGTGTTGTGTGTGTTGTGTGTTGTGTGTTGTGGGTGTGTGGGTGTGTGGGTGTGTGCGTGTGTGCTTGTGTGTGTTGTGGGTGTTGTGGGTGTTGTGTGTGAGGTGTGTGTGTGTGTGTTGCGTGTGTGTTTGAGTGTGTGTTGTGTGACGTGTGCATGTTGTGCGTTGTGTGCATGGTGTGTGGTATGTTTGTTTGTTGTATGTGGTTGTTGTGTGTGTGTTGTGTGTTGTGTGTTGTGTGTGTTGTGTCTTGTGTGTTTGTGTGTTGTGTGCGTTGTGTGTTATGAGTACTGTGTGTGTGTTGTATGTTGTGTGTTGTGTGTTGTGTGTGTTGTGAGTGTGCTGTGTGTGGTGTGTGTTGTGTCTGTGTTGTGTGCTGTGTGTGTTTGTTGTGTGTTGTGTGTTGTGTGTTGTGTGTGGTGTGTGGTGTGTGTGTGTCGTGTGTGTGTGTTATGTATTATGTGTTATATATGTTATGTGTTGTGTGTTGTGGGTGGTGCTTGCATTGTGTGCGGTGTGTGTGTGTTGTGTGCGTCTTGTGTGTTGTTTGGGTGTTGAGTGCGTTGTGTGTTTGTTGTGTGTTTGGTGTGTGCATGTTGTGTGTGGTGTGCGTGTTTGTTGTGTGTGTTTGTTGTGTGTTTGTTGTGCGTGCTTGGTGTGTGTGTGTTTGTTGTGTGTGGTTGTTGTGTGTGTGTGTTGTGTGGATGTGTTGTGTGTGTGCTTGGTGTGTGTGTGTGTTTGTTGTGTGTGTTTGCTGTGTGCGTGGTGTGTGTGTGTTTGTTGTGTGTATGTGTTGTGTGTTTCTTGTGTGGATATTGTGCGTTTGTTGTGTATGTTTGCTGTGGTTGTTGTGTGTGTTTGATGTGTGTTTGTTGTGTGTGTGTTTGTTATGTGTGTGTTCGTTGCGCGTGTTGTTTGTATGTGTGTGTTGTGTGTTGTGTGTTGTCTCTTTGTTGTGTGTGTTGTGTGTTTGTTGTGTGTGGTTGTGTGTGTTTGTTGTGTGCTTGCTGTGTGTGTCTGCTGTGTGTGTTGTGTTTGTTGTGTGTGTGTTTGTTGTCTGTTGTGTGGTCGTTGTGTGTGTTGTGTGTTGTGTGTTTGTTGTGTGTTTGTGGTGTGTGTGTGTTTGTTGTGTGCCTGTTTGTTGTGTGCCGTTGGTGTGATTGTTGTGTGTTTGTGTGTGTTGTTGTGTGTGTTTGTTGTGCATGTTGGTGTGTGTGTTGGGTGTGTGCTGTGTGTGTTGTGTGTGTTGTGCGGTGTGTGCTGTGAGTGGTGTCTGTGGTGTGTGTGTTGTGTGTGTTGTGTGTGGTGTGTGTGGTGTGTGTGTGGTGTGAGTGGTGTGTGTGGTCTGTGTGGTGTGTGTGGTGTGTGTGTGTCTGTGTGGTGTGTGTGGTGTGCGTGGTGTGTGTGTGTGATGTGTGTGGTGTGTGTTGCGTGGTGTTTATGTGGTGTGTGTGGTATGTGTGCGGTGTGTGTGGTGTGTGTGTGTGGGGCGAATAAGTGGGGTGTGTGTGTGGGGTGTGTGTGGGGTGTGTGTGTGTGATATGTGTGTGTGTGTGTGTGGGGTGTGTGTGTGGGGTGTGTGTGTGTGGGGGGTGTGTGTGTGGTGTGGGGTGTGTGTGTGTGTGTGTGGGTGTGTGTGTGTGTGCTTGTGTGCGGGGTGTGTGGGGTGTGTGTGTGTGGGTTGTGTGTGTGGGGTGTGTGTGTGTGTGGGTGTGTGTGCGTGGTGTATGTTTGGGTGTGTGTGGGTGTGTGTGGGTGTGTGTACGTTCGTGCGAACGGGCGTGTGTGCGTGCGTGCGTGCGTGTGTGTGTGCGTGTGTGCGTGTGTGCGTGTGTACGTG